GGTGATTGCTGGTAGCAGCAGCCAATGGTTGCCCTGACAGGATAGGCCACCTACCCTACCCATCCCCACGTTAATACTCCAAGCGCACCCGCTGTCCCTACTATCCTACCTCAGTGTGACCTGCACTCAGGACCATCTATTGAGGGCAACTTGGACCAGACAGCAGTGACAAGCACCAGGGCTGGGCCAACCTCCCAGCCCTAATGGAAGCGGAAGCGGACGAACCTTGCCGTACGGGAACTTCGCACACCAGGCTCATGCAATCTTCTGCCGGCCCAATTCAGAGAGTCTACCCAGTAGGATTACCTAAGCAAGGCAGGCCAGCGCCCGTGGACACATCCTACCGTCTTTCCCCTAGCTTACCCAAGGCTAGGCGGAACTCAGACTACCCGGATCGACTTATATCCCTACCCTACCCTTGAGCTAAGCCCTGCATGTGTAGACCCCGTCATATACCTGCTAGACCCCCCCAGCTCCAGTATCGTCGTTGTGTGTATATGTGTGTGGCCAGAGGCTATGTATGTTTGTATGAGCCCATAGGGCTAATGTGCAGAACTATGTAGAGGGAACTCTTTGTTCGTTTGAAGAGATGGCAGGCCAAGCTGGACAAGAAACTCCCCCGAAGTCCCAAGCCAGACTTGAACCCGTGATCTATGACATGTGACCTGAAGACTCTACCATTTGAACGACAATCGCAAACGGCCCCTGTGTACGATATGCCAGACTGGGGAGATCAACAGAACAACCACAAGCAACAGCCACCATGGACAACCCCTTGGGTGGTGCGCAGGCAGTGTCTGTATAAGCTTACCGTGCGTCAGCCCAAGGGGGCGTGTGTCCAGTCGTGTGTCATTCTAATGCGCTGCCGGTGTCCATGTGCAAGGCTGCAATTGAGTTTTGAACTCACAACCTCATACCACAATGCGCATTTCCAACGGGTGCTCTAACCAGGGTTGTCAACCCCCGGGCCCGGGGCCCCGGCGGGGGTCCCGGGGGTCGGGGGTCGGCACCCCCGACCCCGGAAAAAAAAAACGCAAAAAAAAAAAAAAAAAA